CGAGATGCACCAATGACATATGTAACTACTGGTTTCAGAGTAACAGCCGTGTTAGTCTGTATCCGCAAAAAGAAGAACAGGAGTACTTGTGGCACCTTAGAGACTAACAAATTTATTAGAGCATAAGCTTTCGTGGACTACAGCCCACTTCTTCGGATGCATATAGAATGGAACATATATTGAGGAGATATATATACACACATACAGAGAGCATAAACAGGTGGGAGTTGTCTTACCAACTCTGAGAGGCCAATTAATGGTAAGACAACTCCCACCTGTTTATGCTCTCTGTATATGTGTGTATATATATCTCCTCAATATATGTTCCATTCTATATGCATCCGAAGAAGTGGGCTGTAGTCCACGAAAGCTTATGCTCTAATAAATTTGTTAGTCTCTAAGGTGCCACAAGTACTCCTGTTCTTCTTTTTTTCAAAGAACCATAGTTACTCCACAGGGTGACTAACCTCTTCTTATGGTGTAAGTGCATGCAATACCATTGACTTCAGTGGAGTTGTATCTGTTTATACCAAGTCTCAGTTTCGTCAATCATCTCTGTTTTCCCATGATCTGTACCTTTCCGCAGGTGACTGCTGTGGGTTAGCACAAGGGATTAATCTTATCTTTCTCTAGTGTCTTCCCTATCCATAAGCACAAAAAGTGCATATGAGAGAGAGGTTTCATTGGAAAGTATTCAACATATTATGTTAACATACAGGGCTCTTGTAAACACTACCTCATCCTGCTGAGTATGTCGTCATCAATGTAAAAGTTTTTGTTAAAGCAAAGAGCTGTTAATTACTTACAACTATGATTGATCTTTCCTTTAGTCAGAGCTGCATTGGCACAAGACCTTTAAAGGCGTTAGCTAATCTTCTGAGCTAAGTAATTTATTGATTGATTAATATTTAAATCATATTATATATCAATAATGTAAACATTTCATAGCCTGTTGTACCATTTTGCTTCATCAGTCATGAAGATCAGCAAGACTCATCATATTTAAAAAAAAACCTCAACATTTTGACTTTTTAATAAGTACTTGACTTCTAATATGTGAAGACAACCTCCAATAATAAAGCATCTCTCCATAAATATCATGTTGACAAGGGAAATATTACCTCCATTCTTTCTTCCACTTGTATGAATTTAAATTGTGTATGCTGTTAAAAAGTGGGGATGGGAATCCGTATTTGTCTGAATCCTGAAATTTTCTGTAACAAGTTCCATAGCAGACATGTTCTAAATAAACCATTGGCAATTTTTTTTTTATTATTCTTAGTCTAGTTTTACCCGTATTGAGCATTTGTAAACACATCTTGCTTGACAGTTTATCCACTAGATGTCAGTATCTCAGTCCTTAGAAAACTTTCTCCTATCTGTATGGGCAATTAGTATATAATATTTATAGTAACTAAGAAATAACACTATTTTACTTTAACTAACCTCTGAAGCCTCTGCTTAGAAATACATTTGTATGCATAATTTAAATTATTCTACAGAAATCAAATGCAGCTAAAGCAAGAAAAACAAAAAGGATTACACTGTTTTTACAAAACCAAATAGGTGAATAGTCTGTAGCCATTAGATATGAAATGTTTAACACTTTCCGATATCCTCACTATATTTATCCAACCAAATGCAATAGCATAGTCCTTTATCAGACAACTGTGACCTGAAATATAGTTATGTACATTAAAACTAAGCATGAATTGCTTAATCTATAGTTCTATTATAGGCAACTGGGTAGCTTCCATTACAGCAGAGCTTGTGAAACATTTGGTCATGCTGAACACTTGCTAGAATCAATCTAATTGACACCCCTTCACCTTTTTTTAAATTCATGTACTATATAAAATTCATTTTTACTAAGGGAAAACATTTTTAAAATATTGAGGTTATCATTCAGCTGAGTCTTGCGTCTAGGTTGGGCTTGTCTGCTTTTACCCTTCTGACTCTGAGAGGAAGGAGGTGCTCAGTGCTCCAGAGGATCTTCAGTTTTCCTGGACACACGCACCTTTATCCACTCACTTTTAAGCCTTACTTCTATTAGGACTCTTTCTGGAAAACAGATTCCATGTAAGGAAGACTGGACAAGAGTCCCACAGTGCAGTTCGTGAAATTAGCTGGCCAGTAGGGTGCAATTCATTATTGCTTAGGTGGAGTACCCCACTTCCGTGTTGCTACTGGTCTTCTACACTTCTGAGGTTGTGTCTAGAATTTAACCTAGATCCTCTTACGTAATAGCACAGAACAGTACCCCTTAGCTGTTAAGCCAGACACACATTGAATATAAATTTCTTGCTTTCACATAATTACTTTACTTTACTGATTGCTTTTGTCCTTTGTTCAAACTTATTCAAAGGGGACTGGCTATGACTTGGCATTTAGGTAAACCAGTATATTGATAACATCTAGGCTGACCTGTTTATAATAGAAAAATTATACAGAAATCTGTCATTAGTTTGTTCACTGTGTACAGTATTAGTGCCTAGACACACTGTATATTTTTTTTAAAGTTGGTGCCAATTTGTTTGGTTTAACTTGTTAGAATATCTTAAATGAATCATGGAGTTTGTACTTGATAGTTCTAAATCAATGTGATTTATCATGTGTCATGTTAAGGAGAACAAGCCTGCAGGCATTCACTCATGCGATGCACCTCATGAGAGTCTTGCTGCTAAGTAAGCTGTACATCTGTAAATTTTGTGGTAACAGAAAAAGAATAAATAGACTTTCAATATAATGCATCAAAAACACTAACAAATTGTTTGGCGTATGGTTTTCGTCTCTTTTCTGGTTTGGAAATCTTGTGTTTTTACAGTTCAGATTATTTGTTAGATCCTTGTATTCTTATTCAGTCATTCAGCAGATTACAAAGATATAACAAAAATGATTTTTTTAGTATTTAAGCTTAAAAGAAAATTCTGTCCATTTTGCTTAGCTGGGCAGTCTCAGATTTCAAAAAGTTTTAGAAATCCTTCTTGCAATGTTTAACTGCAATGATGGAATCATTAAGGTACAATGTAGTTGACCAAACATCTGTCTCAATTCCAGGCTGTGAACTCCAAAATAAACTTCCTAGCATCAACTCGTTCTGCCTCAATTCTCTACCTGCTCACAGATCTTGATTTCCAACGGCATTCTTTCCAGCACACCACCTATACTCCTTAGGGAGCAGGTCTAGGCCCCTATCTCTTTGTATTGATCTCACATACATCTAGCCTTAAATCATGAGGACATGTTATACTACAATTTTTAATAATTGCTATGAGAGTGCACTAATGGGGGGTAGCAGACACTTTGCTTTTTTAAAGAAGTCATGTAACTTATGACAATGAGAATATGGAGCTTGATGATTTTAATAAGTGAACCAGGGTGGTTGTTGTTTTTTGTCACTGAAGCAGTCTTGGAGCAAGGCAAAAAATTTAATCCAGTGCCAGTAGCATCAAGGTTAGGGTGAACACTCTGTTAAAGCTGGTGCTAAGGCAGCACTCGAATACTAGGGAGATGGGTCTGGTCTAGAAACCTGACTAGAGTAATGCAGTAGTATGTGCTGCCCCTTTGCCACAGGAGCCATTCTTGGTCATAATGAAATGAGGAGGGCGTGAGGAGAAAACCAAGATGCTCATTTTTTTTTAAATAGGAAGACTATTGAAGGAGTGAGAACAGTGGATGTCTCAGGAACAGTAGAAGAGCCTCCTGAGAGGAGGGGAATAAGACACTCATGTGTGGACCCCTTCCCCAGCTGCTACTTGCACCTTCTCTGTAAATATGTAAGAATGATTCCGTACTCCATCCATGCTTCCACTTGTTTCACCTCTAGCACCGTGGTGGGAAAAGACTCTCCCTTAAAAGTGACCTGCACAAAGCTTTTAAAATCAGATAAGTATATACTGGGTGTGGGAGGGAGTCATTCAACACAGAGTCTGCTCACCAGCCCCCTCTTACGGTTCACTGCCCCCATCTTATGTTGTTCTCCCTTTGCAGTTTGCTGTCTCCCCTTCCCCTTCATCTCACATTGTTCCCATTTGCAGTTTGCTGCCTCCCTTCCCCCCTCACTCTTGCACGGTTCCCCCTTGTGGTTTGCCCTTCTCCTCCCCCCCACATGGTTTTCCCCTTTGTAGTTTGCTGCTGCTTCCCTGACTTGTATGATTCTTCCCCCCCACACCCCCGCAGTACTCTATCTCCCTGTTTTGTAGGCCCTCCTTACCTTGCTTTTCATTCCTTCCCCCCCATTTGGGTGCTCCCCCTTGTGATTCCCTCTCCCCTGTGATTTGTTGCCTGCCTCGGAGTCCTGTTGCTGCTGCATCTGGCCCACCCCCCACTTGCTGTTTGTCTGCCTCGCCCAACCCTACTTGTCCTGTGCATCCACATGTACCCATATGTGTGTTCTCCCCCACACTTTGATTCTCACTCAGTGCATTCCCCCCATTTATATACACCCCCAAACTCCCAGTGCAGCTGAAGAAGCCAATTTTCCTTGCCATGCACACTGCTGCATTCCCCTCTCCCCTTCATTTGCATGATTAACCCCTCCATTTTGTGTTTGTGTCCTCCCACCCCCATGTGGCTTAGTGGGGAGGAGCGGTTAGCGGCCTTCCTCCTCATCTCTTTCCTTTATTATTTACATCCTCTTCCCCCCTGCTCCCTCCCCCCAGCTGTTCCTATCACTTGCCCTCAATGGCAGATGCTCCAGAGGCTTCATCTCTGGGGGGAAGACGAGGGAGGGGGATTCCCAGCCACTGTCATTGCCCACCTCAACTTTCTCCCCATTCACTCCTACGGCTACCCCAATCACCTCTGCTGGCACCATCATCACCCCCAGCAGGGTGGCAGCAGAAGGCACAGGCAGGGACTTCACTGCCAAAATCACTAAACATCATAAGAAGTGTTCCTTCTCAGGAGGAAGCTACGTTGAAAGGAACATGTCTGAACATGCAGGATCTTCAGGTTGGTAAACTTTCTTTATTTCATACTTCTTTCTTAAGGACTGCTTGTCTTTCTTCTGGACTATTCTTGAATTCTCAGGTTTGAGCAAAAAATATAGTTGTTACTCTATGGTACTATCATTTTAGATGCAGTTGTGATAAAAAAATAAATAGCTGAAATAGGCAGATCTTCCTTTTCCAATTTCACCTTTAAAGTAGTACTGAGTGTCAGTGAATGCAATGAGTTATACTAAAGGAGCAGTATGGTAATAATAATTAAATAACTGCATTGACTTATTTTGTTTAGGAGAATCCATCCTCAACATACAGGATTCTGAAGACTATCCACCTTCAAGATCACCATCATTTTCTATAGTTTCAGAGTAATATGCCAATGATAGTGTTTCAGTCACATCATGTATGTCACACAGCCACAATATATCACCTGTAGCAAAAAGAAAAAAAAATCTCCATCATCCAGAAACAACCATAGTTAAGTATCAGAGGAGTAGCCGTGTTAGTCTGAATCTGTAAAAAGCAACAGAGGGTCCTGTGGCACCTTTAAGACTAACAGAAGTATTGGAGCATAAGCTTTCGTGGGTGAATGCCCACTTCATCTT